CTGGCGCCCTCCGTCCCCGGCCCGGCCCCGCCCCCGCTAGGCCCCGCCCTCCACGGGACAGGAGACCTTCCAGGCCCCGCCCCCTGCCCTGCGGGCGGCTGCTGCGCCCGGCGCGTCATTTGGCCCGTGTCGCACCACGGGACAGCCGACCTTGACCCGTGTGCCCGGCAAGGTTCCACGCACACTCTCCCAGCCCTTCCCGAGGGCCGGCTCTACCGTAGCCCACCCTGACCGCCCCCTTCTCGTTCTGCTGCGGGGCTCCCTCCAGGGAACTCTGCCCCCCACTCTGCCACCCCCTGAGAACTGTCCCCCCTCCCCGCAGAGCTCTGCCCCCAGCAGTGAACTCTGCCCCCGCCCCAGGGGTCCTCGGCTACCCCCTGAGAACTGCCCCCCCTCCCCGCAGAGCTCTGCCCCCAGCAGTGAACTCTCTGCCCCCCCCAGGGGTCTCTGGCTACCCCCTGAGAACTGTCCCCCCACCCCGCAGACCTCTGCCCCCAGCAGGGAACTCTGGCTCCCAAGCACCCAGCACCTTGCCCTGACCCCACCTCCAGCCAAAGGGCAGATATTCCAGCAAGTCGGGTAGGCATCACAGGCAGAGCCCACAAAGCTCAGAAAGCGGCCAGTGCACACAGCCTGAACCTGTTCCTGAACAAAGGCCCAGAGCTGGGACTCAAGTGCGGAGAGGTCAGAGGGGCCACACCAAGGCTGGGTGACACGGACACCAGGACCCAGACCTGGCAGGAACGCTGCTCTCACAGCCCCTCCGCGGCTGGCCGCCCTGGGCTCTGGCACGCCCTTGACCTCTGGCCTGTGGGGCCAGTTAGGCCTCTGACCTGAGGAAGACAAAGGCGGGGGAGGCCCGCTGGGTGTCCCTGTGGCATCACCCCCAGTGCTGTGACAGCTCCCCGCCTCGTCACGTTCCCTTCAGGGGTGCCAGCCACCACCGGGCAGCGCGCTCCCCTCCGGCGTGAGACCCAGCTCCACAGGGCACCCCCTTCCCTGCTCCCCACCTTACCCAAAGCGGTGCAGCCAGCCCCCCAGCTCCGAATCCTAATCAGCGCCCCCGCTACAAGCACACGGGTCTGTGGACACACTCAGACAGATGTTACCGGTCACTTGATCACGGACCAGTCGACCAGGGGCATCGTGGACCTCTGGGACTCAGCAACCTCTCAGAGCCAGTGAAGATTACCACACCCACCCCAAAACAACACACTGGTGTTCCCTTTTCCTAGGCAGTCACCCCCACAAATGGCTGCAAACACCCTTGGAAGGCCCAGAGGGAAATTCCAGGCCCTTCCTCCAGAACCTCACCCTCCATCCAGCAAGGACTCTGGGTCTGTGAATTGGTTGTCATCTGGAAAACAGGTCAGAGCCTGGGCCTCTCCGTCGTCGTGACCAAGCTGGGTTTCAGGACCCTGACCATTAACACTCCTCAAGGAAAAATGTCCTAAGTACTACTTAGTTCCCAAAGGGGTCTTCACACCTGTGCAGATTTGGGAGGGCAGACCTTCTGTTCCAGAGAAAGCACTTTATGCCTTTATAAAACAGCGACTCAAAGTATTCTACACAGACATTTCTTGTGGGCTCAGGCACCAGCTCCTGACACCGTGGCAGCTGAGGCCGGGACTGGCCCGGGCCCATGGCAGCCAAACACCTCTCCTCCCGTTCACTGCACACCCCTTTACAGTTCAACGGAGGGTATACTTACCATCTCTGGCCACAGCACTAAGGTCTCATCATTTCCTAGAATGACTCCTTCTCAAACGTTTGTTCCAAAAAATACTTTATTTATTAAACAATATATCCATAATCTATAACATGATCCAAAAATACAGATATACATCTTTACATTATTTAATAAAAAGATTTACAATATTATCTTTCCTTTACAAAGGGAACATAGATAATTCCTTGAAAATAAAATGTAACATTCGTGTTAAAGCTGCATCATCTTTTTGGATGAAATGTGGTAAAAGTGAACACCACAAAATACATTTGTAGGAAGAAAGAAACTTCACAGAACTCTCTCCTGAATGAGAACATTTTTCTTAGACTTTGTTTTAAAACTCCTCTCGGCACAGGTAACAAGGACCAGTCATGGCTCACTAACAACTGAGGAAAACCTCCTATCTCCAAGGCCCACGGCAAGTGTTCCAACTTCCAGCTGCGGCCACACGGGGAAGCTGCTCTCCGGAGAGTGTTATTGCTCGAGACAGACCCTGCCAGGGCTGCCAGCTACCAGTCGGGAGTGCCGCGTGGCCGCCCGGGACGAAGCCACCGTCCCCACGCGTCCCAGCAAACCCCCGTCATTCCCGTGCAGGCCGGAAGCCACCAGGCTCCGTGGCCATGGCCAGTGGCATCTCACACCCGCCCGCCCGGGGACCCCAGTCACACAGGCCTCAGCTCAGGGTCTGCAGCAGCTCCACGAACACAGCCACGGATGTGGGGGGCTCAGTTTAACAAATTATTTTTGTAAGTGCAGCATGTGTTGTTCTAGAGGAAAACGAGAGGCTATTGGTCAAACTGCTGACTGCTAACAGAGCACTGAGAGCAAGGAACATGCTGAGTCTCCTCTGAACACGGCGCTCCTTCCCTACAAGAAAACCCCACAGCCCCGTGGAGGGCCCGCGCCCTTGGCTCAGGTGCGGCTGCAACAGGGACCCCCTCAACCCAAGGGACAGGGCTCTGCAGCCACCTCCGGGTCAGATCTGGTGCCCGGCAGGCAGACGGAGTCTGGTGGGCATCACCCTGAGGTAGGCGGCCAGGCCTCACAGGGCGATCCTCGGCAGGCGCCCACCGCCCCTGCGGGGCTGGAGCCAGGCCAGGTGGCAGGACATTCTTTCCCAAGCAAACAGCGCTGTCGCATCGGCGTTCACAGTCAGGGAGGGGCAGCGGACCCGTGCTGGCCCAAACAGAGTTCCAGGGAATAAATCTTGCTACTCTGCTCATGTCTTATTGTCTCCAAAGCTCTATCTATGGGTGTTGTTTTGGAGATATTTATGCAACCAACAAAAGCAAACACTACAGACAGCCAGGCACAGAACCTACAAAGAGAAAGCCGGCAGCTGGGTCGTCACACAGCGACCAGCGGAGGACGGCATCACACACCAGCTCCCGACAGGGAAGTCGGCCGTCCCTCCTGCGCAGTGAGGGAGGCCCCTGCCCAGCCATCAGCCCACATCCCCAGGCACCAGTTTCCCCATGATGGCGGCGGCCGGGAAGTGTTCTAAGATGCAGTGCAAATATTAAACTAGCTTCCAAAGAATCATCACAAACTCGTGTACTTACCTATCCTCTCCATAAAAACTGGTAGAAGAGTGAAGAAAACAATTTTCCACAATTTATTCCCCACAATCTTTAAACACCTGTGTTAACAAAAAGCTAAGTTACTAAATACAAACAAGCCTCGTTTTCGGCTGCAGCTGAGATGGAGGGGCACATGCAGGCCGGCGCGCATCCTGAGGCCCTCACCCCTCCCTTCTGAGCAGGAGGAAGGCTTCGGTTCCGGGATAGCTTGTCAGGCCAGCTGCTGACCCCCTACCCTAACCACGCGGCCTGGGACAGAAAGGGTGGCCCTCTCCGAAGTGACCTCACCTGCAGTCCCCTGGAAGCCCCAGAAAGGACAGCAGGACAGCAGGTCTGGCGCAGGCTGCCCCACCGAGAACCATAGACGTAGGGTCCAGCAGGACCCTCCCTGCCCTCTGACGTCGGAGTTAACATTCAGCTCTCGTTTACCGACCAGGAACTGCCTTGGTGAGGAGTGGCCCATGCAGGACACAGCCCCCCAAGTTTCTCTCCGTGTCATCTCCTGTCCTTGGTGAAGTATTAGAGAACAGGAGGGAACATTCGGTAAACAAGGCCACTGGAGGAAGCAGCTGCACCGTTCCAGAAGGCCTCCTGATAAAGAAGACAATATTCTTCTTCAGTTGGGAATTTCACATCTCGACTCCGCCTCCTGGATTTCTTCTCCTGCCTCGAGGACAGAAACAGGTTTTCCTCTTTCTTTGGGACTCCTCGGGCTCCTCTAAACGTATGCTGGAGGGTCTCAGAGTCCACGCCTGCTCCCAGAAGTCACACTATGCACCATCACAAATGGATCTCAGCACACCAAACATATGCAATTTCCCCCAACTATTCCCAAAAACACGGTTCAAGATTGGTTTGGTGAATGCAGATTAAACAGAAAACACACTCTAGTTTCCTAGCTTCATTCCAGAACTGCGTGGCACGAGAAATTCACAAATCGCATCACATAATTGTCGTCCCCTCGGACATGAGCTGCTGACCGGTGTACGACATAACAGGTTTAAAATCAGCTCTTACTGGACTGGACTCACTTCACATACACACAGACCCACGATCTTCATGCTATTACAATAATTTCATCTTCACAGTAAAAACATCAGGAATTCCCAGAGAAACGGAGCATCAGCTATCTGTCTCTTGCGGGCGGGTCACAGTAACGACCACCCGTGTGCTAACGAAGAGCCGTTTACTCCAGAAGGTAAAACCCTCACAGAGGGAACTGGGAGTCCAGACGAAAAAGGCAGTGCACAGCGAAGCAGAGACCTCCTCCTCCAGGGATAGCCCGCCCTGGCCCAGAGCTCGGACACGGCAGATGCCCTCCAGCAAGGCCTCGCCAGGTCCCACACGCAGACGCCTCAGCGGGGACAGATGTGCTTCCAGAGGTGCTGGGCACAGCCCCAGGAAGCAGGGACAGACCTTGCAGGCTCACGCCTCAGCTGCAGAATGATGGTACTGCGCTGGCTGGGCGGTCCCCGCCGCAGCCCCCACAGAAGGCTCGGCTCCTCGGCGCGCACCTGCCGGGCTCGGCGCGGGGCCGGTACAAAGTCTCCAATAATGAAGTCACTGTGGCGAGTCCCCGTAAGATCGCTCCTCGAGCAAACAGGGCTCAGGTGGATTCTTGTTTGTTTTAAGAAGTATCCAGAATTACAACTGGCCACTGAGTTTTTAAATATCATTTGAAACAAGGTAGTTTTAAAATGAAGAGAAAATATTGCAACACGAAGAAGGAATATATTAACTTGCTCTTCTAGTCCAGGCATCAGGCTTACTTCTTCTTCCTCCTTTCCTGAACGCACCGTGGACAGAACCTGAGGAGAAAGACGCGGTGATCGGCCCTGTGAGTGCAGAGGCCCACAGCCCGCCTCCCCGGGCCGCCGGGACGGCACCAGGGGAGAGTGCACAGAGCACGCGGCCCTCGCATCGGGAAACCCCCAGCAAGGGGGAGCCCCAGCAAGTCACCCTAGCCAGCACGTGTTTTGCAGTCAACAGATACGAATCAATGTGCAAGACTGTTTCTACGCACGAACACTGCTCACCATCAAGTTAACTGGTCGTCCCTGTGTGATGCCGGGGTCGTCAGTAATCAGAGTGGAGGCGACACCCACAGCCACGCTGGCGACCAAGCGTGCAGAGCATGGTGCGCGGAGCATGGCGCGTGGCACACCCAGCCAGGCGGGCAGGCCGAGAGGGCCCTGGGACCTGCGTGATTAGCCAGTGCTCCTGGTGACCCTGGGCAAGCAGGGTCAGCGCCTCACACACAGGAGGCGGCCCTTGGTCACTCCTGGGCCAGGGCAGCTGTGAGTGACACAGGGATCGTTCCTGCTGCTTTCCACCGCAGCCCTCCTGGCTCCCGATGCAGGAGGCAGCTGATGCCATGGGACACGCCCACCCAGGCACCAGGCCGCCACTCGCCAGTGTGTGCTCTGTGCCAGGGAGTGAGTGCTGAGCACGCTCATGCCACTGCCCCAGAGGAAGCAAAGCTCCCCCAGCAAACACGCTCACATGCAGCTCGTGCAGCACCAACGTGTCCGAGCTTCAGTCCTACTTAACAGGGAAGGAGCCTGAACACTGACCCCAGAGAAACACGGAGTTAGACAGCAGGAGTGGGGCCCACCCGGCCTCCCCAGCTCTGCTTGTCCTGCCCTGTTCCTAGTGCACGATGGGTGGACGCCCATCTGCACAGCCCGCCCAGAAGCAAAATGGTTTTCCATCGCCTATGGACTCTTCCACCCAGAAGTTCCACAAACAACTCAAACCCCTGTCCAAACTCAAATCAGATCTCCCTGCCTCGCGCCCCACCACAAGTCACACCTGCCCCACAGGTGGCCAGCAGCCCTCCACCCCCCACCCCCCCCCCCCCGCTCAGGTGCCCGCCCTGCTGCAGGGCACCCCACCCCCGCTCAGGGGTGCGTCCCGTGACTGCTCAGACTCTGAGGTTACCCGGTGCCGGGAATGCACATGGCTGCCGTCACCCACCGAAGCCCGGGACGACACAGCCTGTCCTTCAGGGCTTTCTCATCTCCTCTGGGGAACAAGATTCCCAAGATTTCATTTTAGGGCAGATGTCCATTTTAAGCACAGGTAAATAAAAACCTGGTGTTTCTTTAAATGAAATCTCAGACCACAAAAGCTGCCATTGAGCACAAGGATCAGGAACAGAAAGTGCTCATGTGCTCTGAACACCTTCCCAATTAAATAGAAGCCCTTCGGCAGGTCCCTGGCCTGCGCCCAGGTTTGGATCAGTCTTAATGCTCACACTCTTTGCCTTTTCCCAAAATTGCTCCAGGGAAAAGAGCTCCCCATTTCACACTTATTTTTAAGAGTATCTCTACCTCAATGCAAAGAGTCAAAACAGCTGTTCTAGCTCTAGAAGAATCACGAAAACGTCATAGAAGACTTGCCCCCAGGTGAGGTGGCAGCAGGTGTCCCTCTACCAGCTCAGCCCCAGGAACCAGGAGCGCTGAACCGGAGTGCCGAGGCCTCAGCCCGGCTCTGCCGGGAAGCAGTGCACAGGACGCCCCGCAGACGGGGAAGGACAGAGCAGCCCCCCGCATACTGACCATTTTCCTTTGGGTTTCGTGGTCAGATCCACACAGGCGAAGTGAAACCACTCAATAGGACACTGCAAGACAGAGGGGAGGCCACAGTCAGGACTCTGCGCTCTGTGGGCTGGACACCAAAGACAACAGCCCCCACCTGCCACCCCCCACCGGGGCTGCAGGGCCCCACCCATGGCCTGTGCCCAGCGCCCACACTCACGTCTGGGTTGTCACAGCCTATCATCTCCCCATAGGACACCTGGTGGCACAGACAGTACGTGGGCTCATTTGGGTCCACAGGCATGTCCAGCACGTCGGAGGGGTGCACGGACAGGATGGTGTCGGTGAACTCAGACCTGCAGGGAAAGCACAGCAGTGAGGAGCAGGTGGGTGGGGATGGTGTGCCCCCTTGGTACAAGACAAGAGGGGTACAGAGGCACCCCAGAGGGTGTGAGGGGTAGCATGCACCACCCAGCACTGGGGTTTGGCACTCTGGGGACATGAATCCATCCCTGTCTTGTCCCTCCATCTGGACAGGACCTACTCCCTGGGCTCCCAGCCCACCCACCCCAGGTCCACCCTCCTCAGCCTCTTAGGGACCCTCTCCCTTGGGGGTCACTCACCAGCTGCCAGTTGATGCCATCTGAGACCCCTTGACCCCAACCCAGACTGATCCAGCCGCCTTCACCTGCACACCCAGTACCACCCCTCACATGCCCACAGCACCAACACCCCAAAAGCCAGAAACCTCCAGATGCCCTCCCCATTCCTGGAGCCTTAAGTCTTGGGAGCCCCCTCCCACCCCCAGCTGCCCACCCGCCAGCAAGCCATTCCTGACCACAAGCCACCATCACCCACCCACCCCCGTGAAGCAGGCCTATTGCCCCCCACTCCCCACAGCCACCCTAGGTCACTAACCAGTGTCCAGCCAGAATCCAGCCTGCCCATGCCTCCCTCCCTGTCGGCTGCCCACAGCTCTGCAGCCAAGCAGGTGGGAGAGCAGGCGGGGGAGTGTCTGCCTGCGTGAGAGCAGGGAGGGCTGGGGTGTTCACTCTTTCCTGTGATTCAGTAGCTTTCAGATAAACCTGTCAGCTACAGGGAAACGTAGACAGTACGCTCCAATCAGCAAAGAAAGAAAGGCTTCCCCACCTCGCTCTCCAGAATCAAGAACACATACGTAATTCAAATATGCAACTGCTGTGGGGACACAGCCAGTTCACACCAGGAACCTGAGGGGAAGCCAAGAAACTGCAGCAGGTCACAACTGTTGAAAACACCAAGTCTGGTCCCAGAAGCAATCGCCACCCCCTTTCTCCCATGTTGCCTGTGTAGAAACACTCCGTGCCTCTGCAGTCAGCTACCCAGGCTCAGCCATGCACCTCCACGTCACACTGCCCCCCC